CACACACACACACACACACACACACACACACACACACACACACACTTGGACATGCTGATCTCATTTTTTCCTGTGGAACGAACTACGATGGGTCCATTGCCGGCGTGGGCTCTTTGGAGGCCACTGTCAATGCCACTGTCAATGCGGGTGTAGTGGAGGTGCTTGCAACTTGCCCTTTTCCTTTTTCTGCAGCCGTTTTGCCTCTCGTCCTTCCACACCCGCCACTCCCCCTGCCGACGCCGCTGCCACCGCCTGCCATAATGCCGTCGAAGTAGAGGATGCATGGACCAACACCAACGGAAAAACGAAAGCAAAAATATCGGAAAAAGAAGAAGAGGAAGAAGAAGAAGAAGAAGAAGACCAAGAAGACCACAATTGCCGGTTGTGAATGGAGCTGATGTCTGCCCGCGTTCGTCCTTTTTCGGTCACGGAAAAAGAAAAAGAAAAAAACAAACGGGAGACAGAGGGCAGTAGGATATGGTGGGAAGTACAATATGGCCGGCGGATGTGCGAGATGGCGGGGGGTAAGATATGAAGGAGGGAAGAAGAAGACGAAAGGAGGGGGAGGAAGAGGAGGAGGAGGAGGAGAGAAGAAGAGGAAAGGCGGAGGAGGAGGAGGAAGTGAGGAGGAGGAAGAAGAAAAAGATGGAGGAGGGGGAGGAGGGGGAGAGAAGAAGAAGACGAAAGCAGGAGGAGGAGGAGGAGGAGGAGGAGGACCTGCCGGTGTTGTATGGCGATGGCGGAAAAAAAAGTAAGGACGAGGAAGGAGGAGGAGAGAGAGAGAGAGAGCCGACACGTGGCAGGAAATCGGGACGAGGAGGAAGAGGGGGAGGAGGAGGAGGAGGAGGAGGAGGAGGAGGAAGAAGAAGAAGATGAAAGGAGGGGGAGGAGGAGGAGACAAAAAGAAGACGTAAGGAGGAGGAGGAGGAGGAGGGCGTGCCTCTTTTGTATGGCGATGACGAAAAAATAACAAGGACGAGAGAGAGAGAGAGAGATCCCGCCGACACGTGGCAGGAAATCGGGACGAGGAGGAGGAGGAGGAGGAGGAAGAAGAAGAAGATGAAAGGAGGAGGGGGAGGAGGAGGAGACAAGGAGGCGAACGGAGGAGGAGGTTGAGGAGGAGGGCCTGCCGGCTTTGTATGGCGATGACGAGAAAAAAAAAGAAAAATGGACAAGGAGGAGGAGGAGAGAGAGAGAGAGAGCGCCGACAGGTGGCAGGAAATCGGGACGAGGAGGAGGAGGAGGAGGAGGAAGAAGAAGAAGAAAGGAGGAGGGGGAGGAGGAGGAGACAAGAAGAAGGCGAACGGAGGAGGAGGTTGAGGAGGAGGGCCTGCCAGCTTTGTATGGTGATGACAAGGAAACAAAAAGAAAAAAGGACGAGGAAGGAGGAGGGGAGAGAGAGAGAGAGAGAGCGCCGACACGTGGCAGGAAATCGGGACGAGAAGGAGGACGAAGAGAGGAGGAGGAGGAGGAGGAGGAGGAAGAGGAAGAGGAAAGGAGGGGGACAAAGAGGAGACAAGAAGAAGGCGAACACAGAGAGAGAGAGAGAGAGAGATCCCGCTGACACGTGGCAAGAAATCGGGAGGAGGAGGAGGAGAGAAGAAGACGAAAGGAGGAGGAGAGAAGAAGACGAAAGGAGGAGGAGGAGAGAAGAAGACGAAAGGAGGAGGAGGAGAGAAGAAGACGAAAGGAGGAGGAGGAAGAAGAAGATGAAAGGAGGAGGGGAGGGAGGAGGAGGAGGAGGAGGGCCTGCCGGCTTTGTATGGCGATGACGAAAGGACGAGGAAGAGGAAAGAAGAAGACGAAAGGAGGAGGAGGACGAGGAGGAGGAAGAGAGGAGGAGGAAGAAGAAGAAGATGACAGGAGGGGAAAGAGTAGGACCGGGCCGTTTTGTATCGCGATGACGAAAAAAAAAAAAAAAAGATGAGGAAGGAGGAGGGGAGAGAGAGAGAGAGAGAGAGGGCACACTTACTTCGAGGCGTGGCAAAGAGGTCGGGGCACGACTCACGACGGGCAGCAGCGAGGTCGGACACGAGGCGCGGTAGCGAGGTCGACGACGGCTTCGAGGCAGGGCACGAATCACGACGGGCGGCAGCGATGTCGAGCGCGACTGTGGACGGGCGAAGTGGAGGGCGCCCGAGGGGGGAAAGGCAGCCTCCACTTTCGAATTCCAACACGAATACGGGGCGCGAAAGGAGGCAGGGGGGAGAACGCCCTTGAAAAAATAAAAAAAATAAAAACAAAGAGGCCCTACACGCCTGCCGGGTGTGTGGGGAGGCCGCCTGCCCCCGCCGAGGCCCTCCCGACCCCCCGCGCGAAAATGCGCTAGGCCCGCCCGGCATTCAACCGGGGGACCAAACCGGCCGGGCCGCCTGGGACCCCCACCGGACGAAGGCCAGGCCGCCGGGCGGCCCCGATTCTAACACAGAAAAAAAGGTCGTTCAAACTGACATACCACGAGGACGCGGGCCCGCAGCCCTTAGTGCCACCGGGAACCCGGTAGGAGTGAAGGCGTGCGGGACGGAGCCGTACAGACCCACTGAAAACTCCTTAAACCCTGTACCCTCTTCAACCTGATACACCTGACCTTTATGATCCTTGACTGGTGTGGCGACGCCCATATGTATGTAGCCTCCCTTTTATTCCTGCCTCCGTTCTCAGGGCCTCGCCACACAAGTCCCAGAATGTGCAAAATGGAGCATGTATCTGCAGCAAAAACATTGAAAGCTACACCCGAGTGCTGTGGCGATGTACAACAAAAAAAAAGGGAAAAAAGCCGTTCATAGCAGCGGCAGACCACTTCCCTTTTTCTCCTCCATCCGTGCAAAATGAGAATGAAATTCCTGTAGAACATGACCAGATGCACCCTCCACATTGTTGGCTTTTTCACATTTTGAGTGGTGTGTCGAGACCCATAAGTATGTATCCTCTCTTTTTTTCCTTCCTCCGCTCTCAGGGCACGCTCACACTAGGTACCAAATTCGCAAAAAAATGGGAAAATTCGCAAAAAAATGGGAAAATGGGAACGGCCGTTTTGAGGAAATGCGGCCATGGCCGGTCACACTGTGCTCCCAAAACGCTAAAGACAAGGTGGCAACATCGTACTCTGCGAGGTGCTTGGGGAGGGCGCCAGTCACACGATGGATACCTCAAATAGGAAATGCAATTATTCTTGAAAAAAAAAAAAAAAGAAATGCAATCATTCGTTTTTTCCTTCTTTTTCTTTTTGGGTCCTTACTGCTGGCCGTTCGCACCAACGGGTGGCCATACGAACCTCTCTGCTGGTGCTGTGTGGAGGGCGGCCCGATGCCGCCCGCTGGAGCGCCCCAGGGTAAAATCAGGGACCGGCCTTGTATACTGAGCGACCGGATCAGTGCCGAGCTAAACTGGACTGACGCTTCAGCTGCATAGGGCGGCCTCCTGGTACGGTGCAAGGGAAAGTGTGGCGTCTGGTGTTGGAGCATCCGTTACTGTTGTGCACGCCATAGCTTCACAAGGGTGGGAGTGCAAGGGAAATTGTGGCGACATCTTTCTGAGCATAGGAGAGCAGTGTGGTGACATCTCTTGGGGCATCTGTGATCAGTCTAGGTGTTGGGACAGGGAGGCGGGGGGGTGTCGAACTACAATTGTTAAGAAGCGAGGCAGTCGTCCAAGGGCATCCGCCTACCATACGCAGTGTAGTGACGCGAACTACAAGAGAGGCAGTCATCCACGGGCATCCGTCTACAACATTCAGGGAATCCATGGCTATGCTCGGTGTGCAGAGGAAGCGGGCATTGCTCTGCATGTTTTGCATGTATATGCAAGTGTTTGTGAAGGGAAGATTCTCCTTGTCCGGCTCCACTGGCCAGACGAGGGACACAAGGAAGTTGGAGTGTTTGCTGCGTGCAGTTCGTGCAGTTTCCACCAGGCTGGAAGTGCCCATGCACCATTTCATGAAGTCTGCAACATGCGCCATCGTAAAAATGCACAACGGGACACATACAATTTGAATGCACCTAGACCCTTTTTTCAGGCATATACATGAAGTGCACAGCGGAATCGATAACAGGATTTTATTTGATTTTTTTTTTTTTTTTTTTCCTGCATCTCTACCCGTGTTCGACCCAGATTCTTTACAATTTATTTTTTTCTCTCGATACAACTTTGACTAGGCTTCGTGCACCTGGTTTGGGACCAGGCACAGCCACCGGGCTATGGGGCTTTGGGGTTGTGGACGACACACAGACAACTACAGTTCATCTGAAGCCACTTCTGACCCACATACATTCATCGGCCTTGCAGTGAAGCAACGAAACACATGGGCCAGGGGCAGAAATTGGAATACAGTTGAAGGGAATCGATCCTTCGTCGTCCGTTCGGGACAAGGGGACACAGCAAGAAACAATGGGCGGAACTGGGGGGAAGAGGGCGGAGAAGCGGGGAAGCCAGCGGAACACGGGCGCAAGGCATGTGAAAACATGCGCGCAAGGGGCTGGAGGCGAACACGGAAACGTAACGCCTAGTTCTTCAACGCGAAAATAACGACGAAAGCCGCACGGCAGGCTAACGACAACTGGATCAACAAGGGATGGAAACAAAAAAAGGGCCACGCGCGTCTGACTGCTCCGCGCGTGCGCCCATTTCCCCAAATCTCCTTTTCGTCAATTGATAGGCCGCTAATATCATGGGGTTCCATTTTTTCTCCAATTTTGCACGGAATTCGAAAAAAGATTTGAGAATTTGCGGTAACCTCCAGAGGTTACCGCAAATTTCCTTCCCCCACGGCTTCGTAGGCCGCTGACAAATGGTCACCCCTTTTGAGAATTTAAGCAGATGTTCACCATGTGTGACTGTCCGTGAACCCTTTTTGGGGGGGGAAATGGGGATTTGGTACCTAGTGTGAGCGTGCCCTCAGGGCCCTCGCCACACCAGTCCCAGAACGCGCAAAATGGAGCATGTATATGCACCAAAACATCCGAAGGGGAGTGGTGTGGCGATGTCCTCACTCACTCAACAAAACAAAAGACAAAAAAAAGGAACAAAAAGTCGTTTATTATTTTGTTTTTGGAAAAAAACGAAAAAGCCGTTTATAGCACCGGCAAAGCACAGAACAGGAGCATGGTCCCACTTGCAACGGGGATTGTATTAAGATCCTGAATCTGAGCGTGTTTAGGCAGAGATGCAGAAAAGGAGTTCAATCTCGATTTTCTGCACTTGTCCGCAAACGCGACAAACACGGCCAAATTAAGGCGTTTAATCCAATCCTCTTTGCAAGTGGGACTTCACCCCAACTGTATCCTCCCTTTTTTTCCTTCATCCGACTGCTCATTCCTACGGCAAAAAGACAATCAAAACGAAGAGGTATAGGACCTCACTCCGAACCCGATACATCCATAACGTTATAGTCTGAATTCACTCAACAAAACACACACACACAAAAAAAAAAAAAGGAAGGAAAAAAAAACGCGTATACTGTACAGTATCGACGCGTATCACTATCCTACAACAGTAATACAGTTACAGAAAAGATTACAGAAAGAAAATAAAAAATTAGCCAACCACATCTGCCGAAAACACGGAGCCTTCAGCATCGCCCCCCCAAACCCCGAATACTGAACAAACCGGTCGGGGCATTTGAAACAAAAAAAAAGAAGGCCATGCCCTGGGCTTTTTTACGGCGACCACATCCAAACACTCTTCTGAGCCCTCTTCGACTTTGCCCGGCCTCCCAACTACCCTCCTGACCGGTCGGTGCTACGTCAAATCGACGAGCTAAAGCACAGCCTAAGGGCTGCGAACAACAGACTATTCCACCATAACAAGTTTGGGTGCATAGAACTGATTGCAATATCAATTCTACCTTTCTCGGCCTTTTGGCTAAGGGCCTCGTTAGACCCTCCTTGAAAAATCCTCATGAATTAGGACGAAGTCCTTGAAAAATTTCAAGGAATTCGGCGTCGTCGTTACACCGCGTCCTAAACGAAAGGGTCACAAGGAAAAACCTTGGAGGTATCCAGCGGCCAATTTCATACACATATACGAGGCCGCGGGGGAGGATGTTCGTCGTCGTCGAGGGATGTCCGTCCGTCGTCAGGTGTGGTCCACTGGCGGTGTCGGGCGCAATCGTTCCGGCACCGCACGGGGGCAGCGCGGGACCCTCCCGGCCGCGTCACGCAGGAGTTGGTTTTTACAACCCTTCGTCGCTAATATACATGGAGCTTCCACAAGCCGCTCCGGCCGGGTGCGTCAGCCATACCTCTCGCGATCCCCTACGACAGGATAGGGCCTACGCGAGGCACGACTTACCTACACCTTACGGGAGCTGTCACCTCCCTTCGGTGGGCGTATCCCCGCCGAGCTACCAGTCCACAGTACGAAAGCTAATCAGCTGCAATCGCAGAGGTGGACCAGCCGAGGGCGTTTCTCGTTCGCTGTAGCATAGGGGGTACGCGCGGTAATACGCCTCTATCGGACCCGCACGTGAACCGACATCTTGGGGGGGCTGAGGTCCCAAGCGCGACTCATCGTCGGTCGACTAGGACGCTTCCCATATACCACGCGCACTACACGTTACGAACACAAGAACATAAAAACATGTACACGCACACGGATGAAACGACATGACACAAACAACGCGACAACGCTCCTAGCCCCTCGATAGCTGTCCCATAACTTACCGACGCAAAATCGAATAGCCGTGACGCGCGAAAGCTAGGACAAAAGCGCGCGGACGCAGGCCCTACTCATATCGACTCGCAATGCAAACGTACCGAAGCAGTCGCAATGATGGCGTACTATGTAGTGCCCATAATCAAACGGTCCCTCGTGGATCCGGGTACCGCTTATGACACTCAAGTGTTAGACTTGAAGTGTCGTGAGGGCCTAACCCTTCACGACATTGCACGGCTGAAGGAAATAGTCGTGCAGCCGCCGCTACGCCTTAGGCTCTTGACCTGAGCGTCTCGGTAGGCAAATCAAATAGGCTCTGCGCGAGGGAAAGCCCCTCCCCTGCAGAGCCTAGGGCTTGGGATGTCCTGGACAAGGACCTCGAATCCCAGCCCTGGACCAACGTCCGACTAAGAAAATCAACAAAGCAGGAATAAAAATAAAATTAGGGGTCTCCCCTAAGCTCTTCAATCCCAGCTTCTGGACGGGCTTTAATATGGGGATTCTTC